GTGGGTGGATCAGCTGAGGTTGGGAGTTCGAGACCAGCCTGACCAACATGGAGAAACCCTGTTTCTACTGAAAATACAAATTTAGGCAGGTGTGGTGGCTCATGCCTGTAATCCCAGCTACTCGGGAGGCTGAGGAAGGAGAATCCCTTGAACCCGGGAGGTGGAGGTTGCGGTGAGCCAAGACTGCCCCATTGCACTCCAGCCTGAGCAACAAGAGTAAAACTCTGTTTCAAATAAATAAATAAAATAAAAAGAAAATATTGAGAAGAAAAAAACAATAAAAATAATAATACCACCAAAAAACAATACATTAAGGCCAGGCACAGTGGCTCACACCTGTAATCCCAGCACTTTGGGAGGCCAAGGATGGTGGATCACCTGAGGTCAGGAGTTTGAGACCAGCCTGATCAACATGGTGAAACCCAGTCTCTACTAAAAATACAAAAATTAGCCAGGCATGGTATGCCTGCCTATAATCCCAGCTACTCTGGAGGCTGAGGGCGGAGAATCTCTTGAACTCAGGAGGTAGAGGTTGCAGTGAACGGAGATCATGCCATTGCACTCCAGCCTGGTGACAGAGCCAGACTCTGTCTCAAAAAAAAAAAAAAACCCAGCAACAAAATACTTTCATGGATGCTGTTTTTTCCCCATCTTTCATTTTTTGTTGATTTATTTATACAGTTTTAGCGACATATAAAAACATTTATGTATTTTGAGAGTTTCCCTCTGTCACCCAGGCTGGCATGCAGTGGTGTAATCATAACTCAACATAGCCTTGAACTTCTGGTCTTCAGTGATCCTCCCACCTCAGCCTCTTTTTTTTTTTTTTTTTTGAGACGGAGTCTCACTCTGTTGCCCAGGCTGGAGTGCAGTGGTGCAATCTCAGCGCACTGCAACCTGCACCTCCCAGGTTCAACTGATTCTTTTGCCTCCGCTTCCTGAGTAGCTAGGAGTACAGGTGTGTATCACGATGCCTGGCTAATTTTTGCATTTTTATTGGAGACAGGGTTTCACCATGTTGGCCAAGCTGGTCTTGAACTCCTGACCTCAAGTGGTCTGCTCTCCTTGGGCTCCCAAAGTTCTGGGATTACAGACGCGAGCCAGTGTGCCTGGCCTGATTCTCTGTTTTGTTTATGGTTCTTGACCAAGCTGTTTCTCGTATCTGGCAACAGTGGTTTTATGATCTCTTTATTTATCTCTATCAGGATGGTGGAGGGTCTATTTTCTATCTAGAGAGAGAAGACAGAAAACCTGATTTGTTAGGTTTTTTTGGTCATTATTTCATGTGTTTGTGATCTCAGGTCTGTTAAGGAAACATTGAAAGGAGAAAGCCTATTGAGATGTGGATAGGTGAGTTTTTGTGTATTTTGGTTTAACTTGACATATGAATGAGATTGTAGAACTGAAGCTTCAAGTGCCTGTGTCTATATGAATTTGAAGTATTTTTCTATCTCCATAGTATATCAAATTAAATTATAATATCTCTTAAATTTTAAGATCTAGGCTGGTCACTATGGCGCACACCTATAATCCCTGCACTTTGGGAGGCTGTGGTGGGTGGATCACCTGAAGTCAGGAGTTTGAGACCAGCCTGACCAACATAATGAAACCCCATCTCTACTAAAAATACAAAATTAGCCGAGCACGGTGGTACACGCCTGTAATCCCAGCTACTTGGGAGGCTGAGGCAGGAGAATCACTTGAACTTGGGAGGCGGAGGTTAGAGTGAGCTGAGATCACCCTACTGCACTCCATCCTAGGTGACAGAGGAAACTATGTCAAAAAAAAATTTAAGATTTATTTGGATTCTTTTATAGAGCCTAATGAGGCTGCCAGAAAGATAAGGAAACACAAAAATTTTCAGAAAATAAATGGAAATTCTTATGTTTTAAAAGTGCCAGCCTTTGGAGGAATTAAAAAAAGGAAACTTGTCAGGTGTGGTGGTGTGTGCTTGTAGTCTCAGGTACTTAGGAGGTTGAGGCAGGAGGATCACTTGAAGCCAAGAGTCTGAGGCCAGCCTGGGCAACAAAGCGAGATCCCATCTCTACCAAAAATTTAAACATTGACTAGATGTGGTGGCACATGCCTGTAATCCTAGCACTTTGGGAGGCTGAGGCAGGTGGATCACCTGAGGTCAGGAGTTTGAGGCCAGCCTGGCCAACATGGTGAAACCATGTCTCTACCAAAAATAGAAAAAAATTATCCGGGCATGGTGCTGGGTGCCTGGGGTCCCAGCTACTCAGGAGGCTGAGGCAGGAGAATTGCATGAACCTGGGAGATGGAGGTTGCAGTGAGCTAAGATCACACCATTGTGCTCCAGCCTGGACAATAAGAGTGAAACGCTATCTCAAAAAAGAAAAACCACAAAAATTTAAAAATTAAGGCCAGGTGTGGTGGCTCACACTTGTAATCTTAGCACTTTGGGAGGCTGAGGCAAAAGGATTGCTTGAGCCCCGGAGTTTGAGAGCAGCCTGGGCATCATTGTGAGACCCTGTCTCTACAAAGAAATAAAAAACTAGTCAGGCATGGTGGTACAGGTCTGTAGTACTAGCTGCTCAGGAGGCTGAGGTTTGAGAATTGCTTGAGTCTGGGAGTTCTAGGCTGCAGGGAACCGTGATCACAGCACTGCACTCCAGCCTGGGCAAGAGAGAGACCCGGTCTTCAAAAGGCTAGAAAAATACTAGTTAAAAAATAGAAAATTTTACAGTCTTACAATGATGTTGAACATGTAAAAACATATTTGCTGGCCGGGCGCGGTGGCTCACGCCTATAATCCCAGCACTTTGGGAGGCCGAGGCGGGTGGATCACGAGGTCAAGAGATCGAGACCATCCTGGTCAACATAGTGAAACCCCGTCTCTACTAAAAATACAAAAAATTAGCTGGCATGGTGGCGCATGCCTGTAATCCCAGCTACTCAGGAGGCTGAGGCAGGAGAATTGCCTGAACCCAGGAGGCGGAGGTTTCGGTGAGCCGAGATC